TATATATATATATAATATACCGCCTCGCTACCTTTCTGGTGAGATTTATACTCTGGCGCATGTGGCGCATCATCTGCCTCTTCTTCACATTTCTCTCTTTTTCTTTTGTTTGTGTGTTTTTTTTCTTTTTCTTCTGTTTTGTTTGTGTTTTTTTATTTCTTTTTCTTCTGTCTCCTCTCTCTCTCTCTCTATTTTTATTCTGTCTCCTCTTCTGTCTCCTATTTGATAGTCTTTCTCTCCTTGTCTCTCTTCTTTTGTCTCCTCTTTTGCCTCTGTTTGTCTCTCAACTTTTTTTGTTTTTTTTTCTGTCTCTTTTTCAATCTCTTACTCTGTCTCTTTCTTAATCTTTACTCTGTCTCTTTGTCTGTCTCTCTTTCTGTCTCTTCTTTTGCTTCTCCTTTTTATCTGCCCTCTTCTTCTCTTTCTTCTTCTGTCTCTTCCTTTGTCTCATATTCTTGCATCTGCTTCATCTGCTGCTGCTTCATCTGCTGCTGCTTCTTCTGCTGCTGCTGTTGTGTCTGCTGCTGCTGCTTCATCTGCTGCTGCTGCTTCATCTGCTGCTGCTGCTTCATCTGCTGCTGCTGCTTCACGGGCTGCTGCTGCTTCATCTGCTGCTGCTGCTTCATCGGCTGCTGCTGCTTTATCTGCTGCTTCTTCATCTGCTGCTGCTTCACCGGCTGCTGCTCCATCTACTGCTGCTGCTCCATCTACTGTTGCTGCGTCTGCTGCTGCTGTTCCATCTACTGCTGCTGCATCTGCTGCTGCTGCTCCATCTACTGCTGCTGCATCTGCTGCTGCTGTTTCACCTGCAGCTGCTGCTTCATCTGCCGCTGCCGCTCCATCTGCTGCTGCTGCTTCATCTGCTGCTGCTGCTGCATCTACTGCTGGTGCAACTGCTGCTGGTATTCCATCAACTGCTGCTGCATCTGTTGCTGCTGCTGCACCTGGCGTGTGTGCTTGTGTATCTGCTGCTGCTGCTGCTGCTGCTGCTGTTGTTCAGGGGCGTTTCAGCCGGAGATGTTAGAGGCGCTGCTGCCTTCACGCACTCTGCTGCTGCCGCGGTGCTGGGTCCCCCGCATTTCTTTTGGCTGCCGTTTGCCTTTTTTCGATGATATTAACCCGCAGCTTTTTGATAGTGAAGCTTCGCTCTTCTGCTGCTGCAAGCGAAGAAAAAATTACAAAAAATACGCAAAAAAAAGAAAAAGTACATACAAAAACTAACTTGTTTGGACACATATATATATATATACATTCGTGTATATATATTATATATATAATATATAATATATATATACACGTATATGTATATATATATGTATATATATATACATACACATTCGTGAATATATATTATATATATAATATATAATATATATATGCATGTATATATGTACATATATATATATA